CTGATGTTCTGCTCCTTGAAACGTCACAGGAGAGGGGTTTCTCAGCTCCCGGGGCACCCAGAGGGCCCCGCTCTGGAGGAGTCGGGCTGAGATGCCCAGGTGGGCACAGGAAGACAGGTGGGCACCAACAGGGGAAGCCTGCCAGTCCGCCATTCTAGGCAGAGGTTGGCCTGCGAAGAAGCTGGCTCTGCATCCAGCGGTCAGTCCCCACCAATCCCTTCTTCAAGACCCCAGTCAGCCCCTCCTCCCTGCCTCCCCCAGTCAGCTGGCAGACTGTGCTTCTCACTGGGCTTCACTTTGCATTTTTAAAGGCCGGTACTGGGATTCCTGGAGTCAGTTGGGGGAATGTTTCTGGATGGGGAGTCCCACGGTTCCACAAACCATGACACATCGGGGATCCCCTGAGGTCCCCCCCAAGCCAAGTGGGCTTCCTTTGTTCTTTCCATCAGGAAATAGTTATCTGTGCCTCCCCTTCACGGGGCACTGCGGTCGCTCAGTGCCGCGGGTACAACAGTAAGCTGGGAAAGAATGAATCCGCCCTCAGGACATCTGCAGTCCAGTGGGAGAGATGGCCAAGTCCCTCAGAGATCTCTGCGTCCCTTCTGCCCCCTCCTCCTCAGCCTCCCCCTCCCACCACCCCTCTGCTGCCTGCAGGGCAGCAGCTCCAGAGCCGCGTTTTGATCCTGCCAGGTGGCAGGCCGCTACAGCCCCCCAGGAGCCTGCGCCTGCCCTGGGGTCCCAGCTGCCAGGCCATGAGTGGGTGCAGAGGCTCGGATAAAAGGGGGAGACCTCGCCTGTGGCTTTTGCTCTTTGGCTGTGCCTCAAGCCGGTGGCCTGCCAGTCTATGAAGCAGCCTACTTCTAAGCCCTCCCGCTTCTGGGCATGAAAAGCGCCACTCAGGGCTGCTGTGCCTGAGTGCACAGAGTCCCCTCAGGAGAAGCCTCGTAGCCAGTGCTGAGAGGCCTTTGATGTGGCCCCCTCCCCTCTCCTTGACTGTATTCTTGCTTTCTGTCAAAGTCCTACCTCTCCTTCCCAACAGGTCCTCCCGCTTCCACAAAGCCCACATTCAGCCCCCAAAGGTAGGGGGCTCTGCTTCTCTACGCTTCCACGCCCTTGCTTATGAAATGGGGACAGCTCACCCTGCCTGCCTCAGTGCACGGCTGGAAGTACAGTGAGGCTGTGGGTAAGACAGGAGCTATGTATGTGCCCGGCGCTGCTCTAGGGGCTCTGTGCTTATTCCCTCACTTAGTCTTCCCAACCAACCTCTGAGGAACATAGTAGAGTAGCTCCATCTTACAGATGTGCACACAGATGCTCAGAGCAGATGCGCAAGGATACGCAGCGAACAAGTAGCAGAGGCAAAATTTGAATGCGGGTCTGTGTGCCTCGCCGACTACCCCAAACTGCCCCCAAAGCCGCTTATAAATAAGGAAATGCTGTACGGACTCAAGAACATTATTATCATCCCAACTGCCATGGTGTCTTCAGGCACACCTTCACGCCACTCCCCCCAGCTCTGTCTGAAAGCAGAAGGCTGACCCCGTGCCCGGATGCAGGTCCTGGAATTACTCAATTTCAGCTCCCCACAAGATCCTTCCGAACCTGGTGCTCCCCCACCACAACCCCTCCTGAACTCACCAGCTACCTCTGTCTGGCCCTGGGATCCAGGAGCTGGTGTCAAGAAGAGGTCTGCAGACGTGAGAGAGAGGCCGGGAGGAGAGGAGCAAGCCTGGCCAGGGCCGGGAGATGGATGGGCCCTGCTCCTTGCTGGCTGGCATTGGACCGGCCTGGGAGACGAGGATCGGAGCAGGGCAGTGATGTGCAGCTGCTGGCCAGGGGAAGCCAGCCTGATGCCTAATCAGATCAGATGCCCCTGCCCACAATCCCCCCCCGCCCATTCCTCTACCTCCCTCTGTCACTCACTGACCTCCCCCCCTTGCTTCCCAGCCTTGCCCTCCCTGAGGTCTCCAGCTGCCCCAGCTGATTTTATAAATGGCCCTTGCAGGAGGTGGACACCTTGGCTAATTGAATCAGTGCCTAGGAGGCAGGAGGCTGGTTAGCATCACAGCTGAAAGGTGGTGGCAGCAACAGCTTGAGTGTGACCATTAGGGAGGAGTCTAAGTGAGCAGAGTGGCCCAGGCAATCTGGACCTCCGTATATTCTGAGGTGTCAAGGTGGGAACTCACCAGGGGGCCCTGGATGCCCCCACCATGAGCCCAGAGCAGACTCACAGGGTAGACCACAGGCCAAAACACACACACACACACACACATACCACTCATGCTCTCGGCAAAAAGAAAATATAAGGAGGGTGAGAGAGAGAACAGAAACAGGAAGAATGACATAGTGTGCTTGTGTATCTGCGCACCTACGTGCCTCTGTACGCGTCTCTGATGGGCACCGCTCATGAGGCCGTTCTTCCCTGCCCCAATGTCACCTCTGCATAATGATCAGCCAGGAAAAGCAGTTTCTAAGTGTCCCGGTCACAGCAGAGCATCTCATGGCATCAACAGCTGCCAGGGAGCAGACCCCAGCGCCATGAGGACCTTTCCTGGAGACCTGTCACTTGGTCCCCTGGAGACCAGTCTGTTCCCTTACCTATGAATTTGCCTCTGACAGCCAGGCTGGCACAGAAACACTTCAAGGAAAGCTTTACCTCTGTGTTTCTGTTTGAGATGGATCCCTAAGGCTCACCCGGCCGTTAGTCCATTCAGTCAGCATCCCCGGCATAGCCACTCTGCGTGTGGGCTGCACGAGGGCAGGGGATGGGTCTGTGTGGCTCCCCCAGCTCCCCCGCTCTGGACGGGGCGGGGACGTGGCACGGACTAAGGGTGGTGCCCACGTCCTCGGCGACAGTGCGGTTGCGGCTGGCTGCCCTGGCACTCTCTGTGGGATGACCCACCCACCTGGTCAGGTCTCCGGAGAGGGACACCGATGGCACGGTCATTGTCTTTAACAGCTGCCTCAAGGACTTTCATTACCCCTCCCAACTTCCCCAAATGCTCCACTTCCCCTGCCCTCCCGCCCTCACATCCACCTTTCCCTAGGGCCCCATCTACCACTTCCCTTTAGAGCAAAGAACAGAAGAACTCAGAAGTCCCTGGATCTCTAAGGAGAGGAAAGCGGGGAGGAGGGGGCCATTTTCAGCTTAGGGGCCCCCACCAGTAGGAGGCAGGGTCTGCAGGGCTCCAAGTGGGATTTGAGCATTGGAAGGGGCAGGCTCCCACACGCCAGTTCCTAGGGTTATCCTCCATTCTTGAGCAAACACGGAAGTTCCCTGTCAGCGCCAAGCCCCCACACCTGGTGCCGCTAAGCCCCCAGTGGTCTTTTCCACAGGCTAAGACTGCCCCCTGCCGGGGTGAGCCAGGACGTCCACCTCAAGTGCCGCCTGAGGAAATCAGAACTGTGGCATCCTGGCTTAGGAGTCCCCCAGCTCCTGTCCCGGCCCGGGGAGGGGAATGACGGAAGCACTTAGAGGCCTCGGCCTTCCTGCTTCCACTGTATTCCGAGGCTGGGATTGGACGGTGGCAACAGGGACAGCTCTTTGGCCCAGACAAGAGAGGCAGGGCTCTGTCTCTGGCTTGCTCACCCATTGCCTCAACTTCCCTTAACAAGGGGCAAAGGCCTGGTTTGAGATAAAACGTCGATCACAACACACCCACACCAGAGAGGCTCTGTCTCATTTCCCTCCTGAGCTCTGGCGCCCCTTTCCAGCTGCTTTTAGGACTCTCCTGGCTGGATACAATAAAGCCATCTTAACCTCTACACGTCAGAAACCAAGCTCACCTTCTTCACCAAACCTGAATCTTTACAGAAACTCCATTTCTCAGCGTTCCATGCCCAACATGACTCCAAGATCTGCAGGCCCGATCTCGACATCTTTTGAGTCCATTCTTTTCTGAATTTCTCCTTCCAGGGCAGCCTCAAACCATTCCTAACCCCAGTCCCATTTTCCACAGCGCTGGTGGGGTTATTGCCCTCATGCACAGCTCTTCTGGGACTCTGCTCAAAAGCCTCATCGTGCCTCCTTCCTCTCGAATCCCTCCTTCCACAACACGGTTGGAAGCTGCCTTCCCAAAAAGATGGCTGCGTGTTCCCTCCACTCTGAACATGGAACTCCTGCCTGAGCACCTACATACCCCCACACATCCTCACTTTTCTGCCCATGATGCTCTCTTCACACACTCCTTTAGTCTTCATCAAATTCCGTCCCACCCTTGGAGATCCACCTTCCAGATGAAGTCTTTCTTCACATGTCCCATGATAAACAGCTGCCTCCTCTGGCCCCCAGGACCCTGATTCCCCTCTTGTGGCACTAATGCCCCCCTCTTGTAATAGGCCCCTGTGTCCTTGTCTCAGCCCCCTCTGGGCTGCCAGCATCTTGAGGCCAGGGCAGTCTAGAGCCTGACAATGCTCCATAATATTGGCAGAATTGGTTGGGAGCAGAAGTTACGGACACGACATGGCATAATACTGGCATGGACTGAAAGCAGGTTTTGATGAGAGGGAAGGGTACAGGACATAGAGGCTGACCTGTAGGGAAGTGGGATACTGAGGGCCCACGGAGAATGACAAAGCAGGAAGAGTTCTCAGAGCCTACATGGTGGACACAGAAGGCAAGTCTTAGGAAGGCAAGGAATTGATCCAGGGCCACACAGCTCCTTAGTCCCACTTCTAGTGCATAAGAGGCTCTGTGACTGCCAACTCTTTCCCACCCTCCAGTACAGCTCTTCGCATATATGCCCTGCTTCCCCACTATTTTCCTGGGGTTGACCCTAAGCTAACAAAGGGTTAGAGATGCTTAAACATCCTTCCCAAGCTGCCCTGACTTTCACAGACCTGCTACTCTGTGGACAAATGCTTGGGACCCAGCCTAGGCTCAGAGAGGATCTTGCTGCTGGGACAGGAAGTATCAATGGTGGCCAGCTGAAGCATTCGTCCCCAGGAGGGCTGTGGCTGTCGCATCCCATCCCCACCCCACAGCACTGATGCCACACAAAAATATTCCAGAAATTTTAATGCCACAGAGAAGTCCAAAACCTACAGAAAGCGACAGCCATCCTCCCGGGTGCCTGGAGCCAGGGCTATCCCCAGCAGGCAGGAGGCCCGCACAAGCCAAGGAACCAGGGCAATTTGCTGACATCCTTTTGTCCTCTGCCCTAAATGCCCAAGGTTCCTTTAGGCCGGGGAAAGAAAGAAGAGGAAGTGGAAAGGGGTAGGAGGAGGGTGCGTCGCTTTCAGGCACTCTTCCTGCATGGGGATGGTGACTCATGCAGCAGGCCCTGGGAGGGACAATTCCTCGGACCAGGCTAAGGTAGGCCAAGCCCAGGGTTCCGGAAGGAGCAGAGGGAAGTCCCTGGAATGCAGCAGCCAGGAGGAGTAACCAGCAGAAACTAGAAGGAAGGCCTGCTGCCACCCTCCCGCTCCTTCTCACGGACCTCTGACCCCACCCCCGGGGGGACAGGCAGGCTTCAGCACCCACAGGCTTCAGCACCCGTATTTGATAAGGTCTACGCCTTCTCCACCCCCATCACTTTGGGCCTTTCTTAAGAATGACATTGTCATACTCAGTTCCCTGTGGCCAGCCAGAGGCAGAGAAGTCCTGCCCTGCTGGGTAGACGTGCTGGAGGCTGCCAGGGTCCCTGTCAGCTGTGGCCTGCCTCCTCCAGGCCTCACCCTGGGGCTCCTGTGGGCTGTCATACAGGGACAGGACAGCCACTCCCTCAGGCTCATCATATATGTGGTCAGGTCGCGGGGGTGGGTGCTCCTCAATGCTGTCATACAGAGGGTCCGTGGGGGGCTGGGGAGGGACCGCCAGGATGCCCCTCAAGCTCTTCCCCAGGTTACGGGCCACTGCATCGAAGGGCACTGCATACTCCCCCTCTGGGCCCCGTGGCCGGGCGGTGGGCACTGGAGTGGAGGGCGACGGAGGTGGCAGTGAGTCATGGGGCCGGGAGTAGGGGCTTTCTGGCCGGGGCAGCACCGCAGGGACCGTGGCTAGCTGGGTTTGGGGCCCAGGAGGGGCGCTGTTCTTCTGGGCCGAAATGGCTTCTTCCAGGGCCAAGAAGATCTCGTTGCCTTGCCACGTTTCGAACTCAAAGTTGCCCTCTCCAGAGATGCAGCGTCGGCCTGCCTCGAAGGAAAAGGTTACCTGGGTGGAGGGGAAAGGGAGATTATTAGCCAGGCCCCAGGGTGGAGTTGCTTCCCCTGGACCCAGCTCCCAATCACAAGCCTGTCACCTCCAGCTTCCCTCCACAGGAACTGGGGGAGCTTCTCCCCAAGCTGGTTCTCCTCCCTCTGGGTTTTTTCCCTAACAAGCAAAGCCCTCACTCTTCTCCTTTCTTTCTCCCTCCCATCCAACCAAGTACAGAGCTTGGTATATATTCAACCTTAGGAATGCCGGCCACCATTCACCCCTCTGACCACTCTACCTCTTCCTGTTCTCCTGTCCTTCCACCCCACCTCACTCTCCCACCCCCACCTCCACCCCCTGGCTCTTTCCCCACTAGCTCTTTTTCTTCTGCTGGCTTTTATCTCTGTCTTTCCTTCCTCCTCCCATTCTCTCCTCCTTTGAGGGCCCCTTTGCCCTCTCCCTGACAATCTCTTCTCTCACAGCTCTCCTTTCTTTCAACCTGCCCTGTGGCGGCCCCTGCTCACCTTGTCCCGCCCAAAGCGCCTCAGAAACCTGTAGGGCCACTCAAACAGCTGGGTGCCCAGCTCAGGGCCACTCCACAACTCCAGGGCAGTCTCCCCAGCCCGGAGGGTATAGGATCCCCGGAGCCGGCACCTCTCACTGGCTTCTGTGGGTCTCATGGTCACAGCAAACTCCTTGCGGGGGGCTACTGGGGAGGAGAGGGGAGAAAGCGGTCAGTGGGAAATAGCTGGCCTGCCTCAACTCTGCCCTGCTCTAAATGAACGTGCCAGAGGCCTCCAGAAAAAGCATTAGCCATGTGCCCATGACCCCATAGCCTGTGTCTTGAAGGCTGAGCTGCCCTAGGACAGGTCATACTCCCCAAAATGCCAGATACCTCCACCCCCTCCCCTAGTCGGCATCATGCCCTAACCACACGCACCCCAACCTTGTGCCCACATCCTTCCTGCCCCTGTTGCCAGAGCCACAGCCTTGTCTTCTCCATCTAATCTCCCCCCCAACGCAGCCACCTCCCAAAGTCCTAATGTCATGGCTGCAGGTGCAGCTGACCCTGCCCTCCCAGCTCTCAGCCTACCCACCCACTGCTGACGCCATCCAGCGCCTTCTGTGAGGTGGGGCTTGAATGTCACCTGTGTCCACTTGCTCCCCCCACACACCCAACCCGGTGGGCTAGACGTCACAAAAAGGGACTGCCTTGTCAGCAGAACGCTCCCTTGCCACAGGACACTTTAAATCCACAGAAGCAAAACCATTCTCTTCTCAGACAGAGAAGGACAGAGAGTCCAAGAGCAGCACCTTACTGAACCCCCCCAGCCTGGCCCTCTCCCAGCAGCAGGGCCTGGGCAAGAGGGAGTGAGCTCAGGGCAGGCCTGGCTCCCCCACCTCGGCCTCTCCCGGAAGCGATGCAGAGAGACTGATAAGGGGCTGGCCGGGCCTGGGGGCAACCACAGGGCAGGAAGACTCACATGCGGCTGTCGCCCACAGCCCCACCCCACCACAGCCCTGGGGAGGCCACCCCCCGGGGAAGATGCAGCCCCTCACCTGCAGTCGTGCCGCTGTACAGTTCATTCTCCTCCATGCAGGGCCGGCTGCCCTTCCCCCCAGGCCCCAGCAGCTCCTTCCTCTGGCCCTGAGGAAGACGCCAGGGTCTCACCGCTGGCCCCCATGCCCAGCCCCACCTCCGGCCCAGGCCTTCCTCCAGAGCACACTCAGCCTGCTGTCCCTGTCTGCATTCTGGAATGGGGTCCCCCCCTGCAAGGAACTGCCCCCAGCATCCTGAGCTTGGCTCTTATAACACCTGCCCACAGCAAGTACCGAGTGCCCCCCTCCCACATGCCATGCCCCCTCGCCCTTTCTGTACCCGTAGATGGCTCACAGGGAAGGCCAAGATGCAGATGGCCTGGATCCAGTCACTGCGCTCTGCGGCGGGGGCTGCCAGCAGGTACAGGCGCTCCTTGGTCTCCAGGAAGAAGGCGCTGGTGTCCCGGGGGCTGCTGGCCTCCCCGCCGGCCTCAGCCACCCGTAGGCAGTCACTGAGGCGGATCACCCTCCTGGCAGCCTCGCCCCGGCGCGGCTTCTCTGGGCCCTCCTGGAGCTCCAGCCGGGCCAAGGCGCAGTCTGACTCTCCATACAGCACAGCCCCAAACCGGCGCCATTTCTGAATCCAGATGCATGGCCGGTGGGGTGCCAAGAGGGAGCCACCGAGAAATGGATGGTGACCAAAGGGGAGAGGAGGAAGCATGGGAGAGGTCATGGGGCTGCATTCAGGGACAAGGAGAGAGGTGAAGATCACAGGAGACCCAAGGAGTCAGAGAGAATAGCAGGGACCTTAGCAATTAGAAATCGTTGGAGATCTGCCCCCCACAACCAAGGAAGAGACAGTGACAGCAGGTAGAATGCCGAAGGCAGAAAGGCACAACGGTGAGCCCATGGAGGCAGACTGCAAGGCAGGCCCAGCCAAGATCCAAGTCAAAGGGCAAAATCCTGTAAGTCCCTGAAGCCCAGAGGAGGGATGAGAGGGCAGCACAAGGGCCCTGACCAGAGACCATGGTTCTCGCTCTGTGTGAGGTCTGGCAGAAGGCCCCAGGCCAGGAACTTCAGTCCACCCTCTTGAACCTTCCTGCTTCATCCCTTGACAGGTTGGGTCATGAGAGAGACAGAGAAGCCCTAGTGTGAATCAGCTGAGGGAAAGAGGACTTCCTCATTTAAAGAGGCCAAAGAAGGAAAAGGAGGCTGGCCACAGAGACCCCCGTTCAAGCTTGCCACCAGCCAAAGTCACCCCACCAGAGCAGGAAAGGGAGAAGGAACCCCACTGCAACCCCGAATTATCCCCTCTGCTGCTCCTTCCCGTCCCTTCCCTTCCCAAGCATCCCCGTGACAAGTTACCACAGAGCCAAAGAGGCAAGAAATGGAGTTAGAGCCCTTCTTTACCCCCCTCCCCATTGGTGAACTGAACAGCCGTCTGCAAACAGCACAGTCTGGGGCCTGGCTGGGGAAGCAAGCGGCTGCTGAGGAAGGACTCCTCCCAAGCTTGAGCTCTGGGTCTAACATGGTGGGTGGCATAGTGCCTATCTTCCCATAAGGGTTTTGAAACATTCGGGGGCTCCTCCTCCTCCCCAGGGATTTCTAGCAGCCCCCCCCCCCAGGCCTTCTGCCCAGTCCCAGCACAGTCTTGCTCTTACCTTTCCAAAAGTCTGCTGCTGCAGCAGGTGTAAGAAGCCCTGCTTCACTGCCACTTCTTCCATCCTCCCACCGTGCCGGCACCCCAGCCCTTCAGCTCTCTCCTTCCACTCCAGCCCTCTTTTTCTCCTCCCTGCTGTGTGTTCCCCCTTCTCTCAAGTTCATTTCCTCTCTGCCTAGAGTTTTCTGCACTGTTCTCGTCTGCTTGATGACGACAAACCGATGGGCCCTGTGGTTTCTTGGCTCTGTGTGTGTGTGTGTGCGTGTGTGTGTGTGTGTTTGACGAGTGAGTTTCATGCACAAGCTTCCTGCATTTTCACTGAGTAAGATAATTTCTGAAAAGCTAATTTCCAGTTTTTCGGCCAGCAACAACTCAGGTACAGAAGCTGGCCAAGGAGTCACCAAACAAGGGAATGGCTGACCTAGAGCAACAGAGAGACCCAGAACCAAATTCAACAATAAAACCAATAGCAAAAGGCCCTCATACTCAAGTGGGATGCTCAGCATGAAACAGTTGGAAGAGAACTTAAAAATCAACCAGACTAAGTCCTTAATTAAAAAATGAGTAGACTGGGGGCGCCTGGGTGGCTCAGTCGGCTAAGGGTCCGACTCTTGATTTCGGCTCAGGTCATGATCTCAAGGTCTTGAGATGGAGTCCCGCGGTCATGGTCATCGGGCTCCACACTCAGCGGGGAGCTTGTCCCTCTTCCCATACCCCTCCCTCTGCTGGCTCGAGAGCTCTCTCTCTCTAAAATAAGTAAATAAACCTTTTTAAAAATAAAATAAAATAAAAATGAATAGACTGAGGCTCAGGAAGATCTGAGGGACGTGTTCAAGGCCACCAAACCGGAACCCAGGTCTCTCAGCTCAGTAAGAACTAAGCCACACATACACACACCCAGCATACAGAACACATCAGACAGAGTTCACCACTTTCACACACAGCTGCAACTGTGTTTCATTCCAAGAGGAGCACTCCCTGCCCCAGACAACTGCACAAACACACAGCACCTTCTTGGGATTCTAGAAACATGAACATCCCCACACTGAAACATGCTATATTCCCAGACCACATCCAAACAGTTGGAGTTCACCTTCTTTCCAGCCTTTGTGAGCATTATAAAGGCACTAGAGTTTCATCTGGGGATTATCTTTTTAAGTTACAATAGCAATCTCTTATATTAAAAAAATCAAAAAAGCCTTCATAGTTGCCAAAACAAAAGTACGCCTTAGTTACTAGAGCTTCCAGGCACACAATGTCACCAGCCATATTATCTATCCCTGGAAAAAGGGAATGCAGGCATGAACCCACCTGTTTGCAACTCCCCTGAGGTCACAGGGCTGGTGGGGACAGGAGAAAGTACCAGGGCTCCTGATTTTTAAAAAAGATTTTATTTATTTATTTATTTATTTATTTATTTATTTATTTAAGAGAGAGTGCATGAGAGAGCATGACGGGGGAGTCAGAGGGAGAGGCAGGAGCACACTCCCCGCTGAGCAGGGAACCCAATGCCAGCTGGATCCCAGGACCCAGGGATCATGACCTGAGCCAAAGGCAGACATTTAACTGATTGAGCCACCCAGGTGCCCCAGGGCTCCTGATTTTTAACTCAATGATCTTTTTATTGCTGGCCCCTAAGCACAATCCCGACTCCATGCAAGAAAATACATTGCTTTGGGGAAATCTAAGGTCCCCAGAAAATATTTAACTTAGAGCCAGATGGTTTAGAGAAGCAATCTGATGGAGGCATGGTGCAGAAATGTTGGGGAACCAGAGAATTAGACAAGCACTCTTGGGGTAACCCCATAATGGGTGCTTACATAACCGGGCCATTTCCTCTACCACAGGGGTTTGTTTGCCTTGGGAAGGAGAGCAGAGCAGTGTACTGCTCAGACCATCTGCTGTATATGCCGTGTGCTTTACCAAAACAGCTTTAAAAGATGAATGTTATGAGCTCTGGGAGGAAAGGGCTGAGTCAAGTAAAGCTCACGGCACTCAGCCCTGCTGCCTGGATTTGAACAGGTTGATCCAGAGATCAAGGGAAAACCAAGGATGCTGGTGTGTGAAAAGCTCCTTGGGAAGTGGTTAGGAGTATGGACATGGGGCAGGGTCTATTCTGTCTCTTTAGTCCCGAAGGAGAGGCAATGCTACCTGGGAGCTATTTGGTCTTTGGCCATCAGCATCTCCTTATGGAGTGAGAAGAGCAGAGCTTTTAGGGTCATCCTGGAGGCTGCCAGAACAGTGCCTTTCCAACATTAATGTGAAGATCCTGTTAAAAGTGCAGATTCTGATACAGCAGGTCTGGAGTGAGACCAGAGATGCTGATAGTGCTGGCAGGTGGGCCAGACCTCAGTCTGAGAAGCAGAAAAATAGAAAATACCCCCCTCCATTACTCTGATTGCCTTTCCCTAAGGCAAATTGGATACATTCCACTCGGAACCACAGGGGGGCACCCGAGCTTACCAGATTACTTAAAAGTTATTTCTACCTGGAGGCCTGGGCCCCAGGTATTCCAGACAACCACATGCCATCCCTTGCCTCTGGTAGCTGGAAAAATTCTGTGGCTGTTGTCTGCAAATGGAACAGCAGGAATGTACTATAAGCAACACACTTTAAAGGCCTCCCACTTTCCCTGGCAGGCCTTGCGGGATCCCTGCAGTGGGAGTACTAATTCCAGTACCTTCCGTCTGGCCACAGGCAAATCCTGTGAGCAGAGTCCCAGAAGACAGAGCTCCAAGACACAGCAGAGGGGCAGAAAATGAGAGGCCCTTAGGTTACCCAGGCACCGATGATGGGAAGAGAAAGCATCCTAAAGGGAAGAGTCCCAGTGGTTTATACTGAGGCACAAGTGGGGTTTGGAGTGCTCTTTGGTTTCTCTTTGCTTTTATTGGAAAGGAAGGGATATACCACACCTCACCTGTGCTTCAGTGTAAGCCAGGGGATCCTTTCATTTACACTGGTTTCTCTCAATAGGAGTTAGGAACCATGCAGGCCAGAGAACACAGCTCCAAGAGCTTTGCAACTTTTTGTTATTATTCTCACCAGTGATTAGCAACTAAATCCTTAACACAAAAGGGCTTGTGAGCTTGTCTTTGGGGGCCACAAAGGAAGGAGCAGAGACTGTGTCTGATTCCTTGGGCAGACTTGGAGATTAGGTGACCCCCAAGCGACGGACAGGTGGAGCACCTACCCCAGTGGTAGCACTGGGCACACAACAGAAAAGAAGGTTTACAATGGGCACGGAGCTGGTGTGGGCCTGAGAAGGATGGAGAACTGGGGAAAGAGATACGTGACCTGGGGTCATAAAGATCCTCCCCTGCTTCCCCCCAACCCAGTGGATCCTGACTGTGGAGGAGGGAGCACAACACCAGTCTCTCGAGTTTTGTTTCTAGTCTCACCCTTTCTCCATTAAGTATTTCACTTCTCCCAGTACAAGGAAGGAGAGACCCAGTGCTTGAAGCTCTCTGAGAAGAAGGGCTTATAATAGAATGAAATAATTATGTTACTTAACATTGACATAACATTCCAAATGCTTTATGTTCTCATATGAACCCACACACAACATAGAATGAGACAGAGATATAAATAAGTTAATTAACTCAGAAATTATTTACTGAGCATCTACTCAGTACAGAGGGACTAGGGACACAGCATAAAGAAGACAGAAAGTGGTTACTTTCTAATTGGAGACCCTGACAATGAAAAGAGTAAGCAAGTAAATAGCTTTGGACCATGATCAATGCTGTAAGTATGGCAGGGATGGGGTCAGAGGATCCTAAGTGGTGAGAAGATAACAACTGAACTAAGAAGTCAATGACAGCTGGAACTAGCTACTTAACGATCTGGAAAAACATACCAGGCAGAAGTGACACCAAATGCAAAGGCCCTGAGACAGAAACACTGTAAATGTGAGGAGTTGCAAGAAAGCCAGAATGCCCAGAGCATTGTTAACAAGATGGAACATGGTAGAGATAAGGTCAGATTATGTGGCTTCTCGGGCCACAGCAAGGATTTGGAATGTATTCTAAATGAAACTGAAGGCCACTTAAGGATTTTTAAGCAGGGGTATAATGATCTAATTTGACTTTAAAATGTTCTGCCTCTGTATGGAAAACAGATTATCACAGGGCAAGACAGGAAGCAGGAAAACTAGTTAGGAATCTATTACCAGACCCCAAGAAAAATGTGATGTAGCTTAGACCAGGGTGTTAGCAGTAGAAATGAAGAGAAGTGGCCAAATTTGGGTATGTATTAAATATAGATTAAGGGGCGCCTGAGTGGCTCAGTCAGTTAAGCGGCTGCCTTCGGCTCAGGTCATGATCCCAGGGTCCTGGGATCAAGCCCCGCATCGGGCTCCCTGCTCAGCGGGAAGTCTATTTCTCCCTCTGCCTGCCACTTCCCCTGCTTGTGCTCTCTCTCTCTCTGTCAAATAAATAAATAAAATATTTAAAAATATATATATATAGATTAAATGGGACTTGCAAGTGGATTGGATATAGGGAACTGTTGAGATGCTAGGAATCAATATAATTCCTGGGTTTTCAGCTGAGCAACTGGGTAAAGGGTGGTACCATTTACTGATAAAGGGAGGATGGAGGGAGAACCAAGTGTGAGGAGGAGGATTGGTGGAGGAATGGTTGGGGGCCTGGACCACAGAGAGCTGTTAACTCCCACCCAATCAGGCAAGTAATGAATTGGAAGACTGCCACTGCAATTGTGACTCCAAGAATATACCACTGCAGCTGCTATGCCAAGGTCAGGAAGCCCCTGACTCGCCATCCCCGCTCAATACATTCAGGGAGCTTATGATTGGACACTGAAGGTTGTTGGGAAAACAAAACACAGCACAACACAACATTCCAGGGGTTAGGCTTGCCAGAAGCAACGGTCAAAAGCTTCTGCTTCACTTCTACCTCCAAAATCTCCCAATGAATCTAATTGGCAGAGGCAATCTTGCATACAGAACCCTAGCTGCAAGGAAGTCTGGGTAATGTAGTTTTTAGGTGTCCTACGTCCGCAAACCAGAACGAAACGCTAGGAGGACCCAGGTTGAAATGAATGCTGAGCACCAGTCCACTCTATCCACAACAGAAAGTGCTTCACTACCACCTTCATTTCCATTGCAGGTGGTAGCCCCCAGCCAATATAAACTTCAAACAACCAATACTCTCAGAATCCAGCGAAAATTTAATCTGGGGGCCTTGATTGGAAGCAAGAGTGAAATTCAACGGAAAACAAAAACCAGCATTATCTAACACTGATAATTCCTGGTGGAAAAGATTGGAATTGGCCTCAGCGGGCAGGGACTGACCTGATCTGACCCAGGGGGTTGACTATCCCAGTAAGACTGAGCCCAGGGGTCCTAAAACCCCTTTATCTGACCCCACCACCACCACCTTTCCCAGCATCTGACCCCTCTCAGGAGGCAGCCTAGAGTACTGATTAAGATAATAATCTAATTGTGAAGATTGGAGCAGTGCCTTCTGCGTGTTTCCATTGTCACCACTATTTGGCGGCTATTCCCATGAATGTTTCTGGAGGAGAAAAGGACAGACACGAAAACAGGGAGATCACTATTCAGGTTGCTGGTAAAACACAGGATCAGAGAGCAGTGGCCCTTACCACTGGAGCAGAGAGCTAGAAAGACTAAATAAATTCGGTCGACGTCGGCAGTTCATTGGAAAGTAAAGAATAATGCA